CTTGTAAAAATCAACGCAGATTTTTTCTATTATTTTTTCATTATATTTAAGGTAATAAAGGAATGCTAATAGAAATTTCAAAATATGATAAAGATAAGCCTCATGTTTCCATTGCATTTAAGATAGTATTGCTTTCAAAGAAGGTTAACGTGTCGAGATTATATTTTACATTGCCTAAATCCGGGTCCGAGTCCCGCTGGTGGTGCTAATGAAGCTTAGGAGAGGTCCTAACTGCCATATACCCTTTATGAGAATACCTTTTGAAAAGTAGGGCTATGCGAATCTTGAGAATCTCCTTACTAACGGGAAGTAAGTAATGCAGTCGATTTATGTGGCAAAACGCAACATTTTTTCATCGACAATCCCACCACATTAATGTGATATGGGAAATCCCTGGGCTTCCGTGAAATGCACATCTGCCCTGTGACTCAAGAGCACTCGTTGCAATTTGGCATTGTGGTTAGTGTGTCGAAACTATGTACTGCACTAGCACAATCCGGGTTCGAGTCCTACTGGTGATGCTGAGGAGAATAGGCGAGGTTGAAACTGCGGTCCATCTTGGATTGAGAAACCTTTTGGGAAGTAGGGTTATGTGAAATTCAATGAAAACATGAGGCCTACTCATATCATTGTTAAATTCAATTAACAGTCCTTCAACACTCTAGACAAATTAAGGTGAATAGAGTTCTTAAGCAAACATGTGTTTGCGATTACAATTACAACATTTTCTATTTTTGATATAAGTGCTTTTTGAGACTAGCAGTAATTATTAATAAACACCTCAGTTACCCTAGATCGTTTAGTCCTATTGAGGGAAAACTTAACTATTAATCATCAAATCAACTTAAGCGACATAAGCGGATTAAATTCTTATTTAAGAATAGCATATATTCGCCAAAATTGCTTTCATCGGAATTTTGTCATTAGCGCCGATGCCCCAGCCTTAAAGGTTAGCATAGTTGATATTTTGATAAATCTGCTTACAGTAGAGCACTCCGTCAAATTAGCCGGACAGCTGTTATTTGGCAAAGTGCCCAGTATTAGCATGGCGCCGGCAAACAGGGCAACTGCTTGCGAATTTTTCAGGAAGACATAGTTGGAGTTCTTTGAGAATAAAGCAGGTCCAGGCCGGATTGAAGAGCCAATCTCAGGAGAAGCGGCTGCCATCAAGTCAACAACGCGAGCATCTATCAACTCCATGCCATACCAGATATGCCCAGTACTTGTCTGATAGTTTGGTGCAAAGATGCTGCGTAATTTTGAGTTGCCCAGGAAGCCGAGTAGGCTGACACGATATTCCGTCGGGGTGGAGTAGGTGTTCAGGTAGGCTATTTCGCTTACTGCCATGTGGGCCATCTCCCAGAATGGTTGGATCAGGCCAGAGGCATCGGCAATGTCGGCTTGGGTTGGTGATAGCCAAGTGGACTGGTCGTCGATGTTGAAGCGGCCTAAAGTAATGTATGGAGGAGCTAGTCTTGGCTTGTAAACCTTCTCGGACTGTACAACCTGGATACCGTAATCCACACCATCAAGCAGGAGTTTTAAGCCTAGATCCAATCGCCAGAGTAACCCAATGTTAATCCATTGACCTATCGGGGAAGGAGAGAGAAACAGGAGAGTCAAAAAGAGTTAGTAGTATGGTGGGAAAGCCGGCATTTTGGTTGTTAGGCCTAGAGAGGGCGCCAAATGGAGCAAAATAAGTTCGACCTATAGAAATGTGAGTAAAGTAGAATGCAGAGAAATAGGTTGGAGTAAAGTGTAATAAAATGGGGCTAAGTGAAGTGGGGTTTAGTGGAATGAAGTGGAGTGGATCACTTGGAACTATTGAAAGTAAGGATTATTTGGGTGTTGATCGGTGTACGATATTTAAGTGGGATTTTTATCAAGTAAAGAGTATTTGTGGTATTGGCTGTGGATAATCTAAGAGAAGATTTTTAATTGTTCTTCTATTTATAATTTTCATACAATAACCTCCTCCATTCGATGTGATGCTTTTACTTCCCATAAAATGCTTAAAAATAAGAAAAATATCTGTAGAGTGACAAAATTGATAACTAAACGCCTTCAAGATCAATTTCGTGGGTCGCCGAATTTTATGTTAATTATCAAAAATTCCTCTTTCATTTAGTACACGCATCCTTTAGAGCTCATCTCCTCCTCGTGGATATTTGAAGTGGATCACATGGAAATAGAATGTGCCGAGACTCTGTAGCCGTTTTCTGGGCCATCTACAAACCCGGGTTGGCGTTAAGTGATCTTTTCTTGATATAAATTGGGGATTACTACATTTTATCTCTAACTTAAGCTAATAATAATATATCCTAATAAACCTTTTGTGCAAATGTCAATTGACATCTGGTATCGGTGGTGGAGATGATTACGCTTCACTTAACCCACTTGTAGCGACACACTCTTAGCCAACATGGGAGGAAATGAGAGCACAGAATTGTGTGAATAAGTGGATGGGCCATATGAAGTGGAGTTGAGAGAAATAGATGTGGCACTAGAAGGTAAAACAAAAAATATGGACGATAAAAATTCCACAACGGTTGAACATAAAATTGGTAAAGAGGATTGCTTTCGCTCATCACTTTGATAAGTTGTAACTCTGTGCTTACAATGGCGCCTCTTACTGATGATGCCGAGGAAACGTTTGGGAATGTACCATGTCAGTGGTCCAACGCTGTAAATCATGAATACTATGGCAGAAGACATGGGACTAGGCATGTTCCACAAGGTCTCCCTGGCTCTCAGACCAAGTTGCGAAAACAACGTCCAATCAACACTAATTGTATCGCTGTTATAAATCAGCGTGAGTGGGAGTCTGGTCCTGAAGTTTCTGCAAGGATGAGTCCCAGCTCTGATGATATCAATCATATAAAGTATGGAAGCTTAGT